ACCTCTTGACAGCCTTGGTTGGTGACTGGGCTAAGGTTCCATCCACCTCCTTCAAAAAGCCAGGCAAACAGACAGGCAGGGCGCCAAGGCTATTGTTCTACAGTTTCCACGGGCCGTGAATGGCCCTCGGGTTCTGAGGTCTGCTGATGGGAGGCGTACAGATTTCTAAACAATTCCAGGCCTTTGATATAGTTGCCAACACCCACAGTTACCATTCTGGGAACAATGCCACCCAGGGCCACAGCCACCTTCCTCCCCTCTAAGTGAGGAAGTGGCTGCTGGCTGCTGGTGGGGGCAGGTGCTGGGAGGACCAGGGTCCAAAGGACAGAGGAGTCCTTCTGATCCTGGCCGCCTGCCTTTTGTTCCTGGAACACACTGACATCCCCCTCCTTCTGAACCTTCAAAGCCTGTCCTCAAGTATTCCTCTTGTCCCCGCTGACCAAAGCCAATGCACATCTCTGCTGTTCCCTATGGGGGCGCTGTTCTAGATATTGCACTTGAAGATTTTCCCGCATTGGTTCAGAGCTTTGTCCTGCTTCTGTCTTTGTTTGCTCACCCTGATGCAGTTTCTTTCTGCAGGTACACGAAAGAAGGAGTGACTTTTAAAGATGCAACCTGAAGTTCCCCTAACAATACCCACAGCAGTTAAGCTGCTTGGGACACCCCCATCTCATATCAGAGTGCTGGGGTTTGAGTCCAGGCCCGGGTTCTAATTTCCTCCTCCTGGGAGGCAACAGGTGATGGCCCAAGTACTTGGGTCCCCGCCACCCACAGATGAGACCCAACTCAGGTTCCTGGCTCCTGGTTTCAGGCTGCCTCAGCCCTGGCTGTTGTGGGCATTGGAGAATGAAGAGCTATCTCTCACCACCTCTCTGCATTTGAAATAAATACATAAATGAACAATTTCTTTAAAAATAAAACACCCTTCTGAATAAGCGGCACATAAAATTCATTGACAAAGTCCCCTGTGGGGGGTGGATACACCATCTGGGACACCCCCCCCCCCAGAATGGTTAAGCCTCTGGGCTAATTTGACTGTTATTTTGAAGGAATGCAGGTGAACAAAAAGGTAGTTTCCACTAGGGCAAAATATTTTTTCCACTTCCTGTTCTGTGCTATGTGGCTATGTTCCGGTGTGAAACCGCTGAGTTTCAGAATCAGGCGAAACACACCAAAGCAAAGACCCACCCACCACAGTCTCTATTAACCCCATGAACTAGATTTCATGATGCCAGTTGTTGTCAAAAGACAGGCACTTCTTGGCCCAAGTGCTTGGGCCCTGCACCTGCATGGGAGACCAGGAGGAAGCACCTGGCTCCTGGCTTCGGATCAGCGCAGTGCGCAGGCTGTAGCAGCCATGTGGGGGGTGAACCAATGGAAAGGAAGACCTTTCTCTCTGTTTCTCTCTCTCAGTCTAACTCTGCCTGTCAGAAAAAAAAAAGACAGGCACTTCCAAGGGTATCAGCAAGGAGAAATGCCTGTTCACAGACCACGACCTCACTGGTCTGAATCTGTCTTAATAGCATAGCAGGTACAGCTGCTGCTTGTGGTGCCAGCACCCTATATGGGTGCCGGTTCGAGTACCAGCTGCTCCACTTCCAACCCAGCTCCCTGCTAATGTGCATGGGGAAGCAGCAGAAGATGGCCCAAGTGCCTGAGCCCCTGCACCCAGGTGGGAGACCTGGAAGAAGCTCCTGGCTTCAGTCTGACCCAGCCCTGGCCACTGCAACCATTTGGGGAGTGAACGAGCACATGTTAGTCTCTCTCTCTCTCTCTCTCATTCCACCTTTCAAATAGATGAAAAAGTAAATCTTAAAAAAGTAAAAGGAACCCGAAGCTCTAGTGATTTGCCCGACCCCCACCCCCACGCTGATGTGATGGAAGCTTACGGCTTTTCCCTGGGAAAGTATTCGCGGCAGTCCCAACCCTCCCTGGGAATGGCTGGTGGGTATCTTTCCCCCGGGGAAGTTCTGCCCAGTCACTGGGCCTGGGACAGCCAGGGCCCAGCAACCTGGGTGGGTCAGCGGCCCTCACTCGGAAACGGAAGTGTGACTGTGTGTTCCGTTGCTGCGGCAACCGAAGGCACAGAGCAGCGAACCTCCGGCTGCTGAGCCCAGCCCACTGCTGGGGCGGGGAGCGCAGAACCCAGCGGTTTGTGTCGTGTGTCGCCCAGGGGAGAAGTCACCAAAGAAAACGTCAGGGGAAAACAGCCAATGGGTAGTCATCTCTCACTCACAAGCACCTTCAGCGTGATTAGCCTTGCGCTTGAAGGAACCAGAAAATTCCGGAAAGCACTTGATCAGAGCCTGACTTCCAGTGGGTGGAGGTCAAAGGCAGAGCCGTGACCCTTGGTGGCCTTCTGTGGGCATACGTTTAACAGTCTGCAAACACTTCCGTGCTTTGGCTGCATCTGATCCTGGACTGAGGGTAAATATTTATTCTTCTTCCAGGGACAGGCCAAGTGAGGACTGCTCTGTTTCTTCATGGGGGACCATAATGTGTGCTTTTCGAATGGAATTCATGTCAGGATGAAATGATTTCATAAGGCCGGCGCCACGGCTCACTAGGCTAATCCTCCGCCTTGCGGCGCCGGCACACCGGGTTCTAGTCCCGGTCGGGGCGCCGGATTCTGTCCCGGTTGCCCCTCTTCCAGGCCAGCTCTCTGCTGTGGCCAGGGAGTGCAGTGGAGGATGGCCCAAGTGCTTGGGCCCTGCACCCCATGGGAGACCAGGATAAGTACCTGGCTCCTGCCATTGGATCAGCGTGGTGCGCTGGCCGCAGCGCGCCGGCCGCGGCAGCCATTGGAGGGTGAACCAATGGCAAAAAGGAAGACCTTTCTCTCTGTCTCTGTCTCTCACTGTCCACTCTGCCTGTCAAAAAATAAAAATAAATAAAAATAAATAAATAAAACAATAAAAAGATTTAAAAAAAAGAAATGAGTTCATAGATTCGGGGTTCAAGAGGATAGAATCAAGAGCACTCCAGCTCCCCTCCCGAGTTCTGAGTGAGGAGGGATGGACAAGATGAAATAAAAACAGGTGCGGTCACAATGGCAACCTGAGGGGCCAGTGCTGTGGCACAGCAGGTTAGGCCTCCACCTGTCACGCCCCCATCCCATATGGACAACGGTTCGAGTCCCAGCTGCTCCACTTCTGATCCAGCTCCATGCTAATGTTCCCGGGGAAAGCAGCAGAAGATGGCCCAAGTGCCTGGGCCCCGACACCCACGGAGGAGTGAATCAGTGGATAGAAGGTTTCCTCTCTCTCTCTCTCTTTTTTTTTTTTTGACAGGCAGAGTGGACAGTGAGAGAGAGAGACAGAGAGAAAGGTCTTCCTTTGCCGTTGGTTCACCCTCCAGTGGCCACCGCGGCTGGCGCGCTGTGGCCGGCGAACCGCGCTGATCTGATGGCAGGAGCCAGGTACTTATCCTGGTCTCCCATGGGGTGCAGGGCCCAGGTACTTGGGCCATCCTCCACTGCACTCCCTGGCCACAGCAGAGAGCTGGCCTGGAAGAGGGGCAACCGGGACAGAATCCGGTGCTCCAACCGGGACTAGAACCCGGTGTGCCGGCGCCGCAAGGCGGAGGATTAGCCTAGTGAGCTGTGGCGCCGGCTGCCTCTCTCTCTTTCTCTCTCTCTCTCTCTCTGTAACTCTGACTTTCAAATAAATAATTGTTTAATATCAACTTTGTCATTGGTAAGTTTTGTGTTGGAGTCAGTGGCCTGTATGTATGAGTAGGTGAACCTCAGAATTAAACAGTGTACCCAACACAGGCTCAGAAAGGCCTCCCATGGGAACCATCCCTGGATGAAGCAGAGCATGGGAGAACAGAACCCAGAACATGCTCTGAGGGCGGCTAGCTGCTGGAAGGAGGAAGAGAGGAGGAAGATGACTGGGCATCGCTGGTCCCCACCCCACTTCCTACAGACAGAAGTTGCTCCTCTCTCCTCTCCCCATCCCTCCGACCTCACCACCACCGCCCTGACTCCTGCTGGGGAGAAGTCAATCAAAGGATAGGGAACAATGGGAAATCTTGGGCCAGAGGAGTTTCTACTGCTGGGAAGGAGACCTCCAGGATGTTCAAGAATCTTTTACCACCCTAATAGACACGGGTGAGGCGCTTGGTGCCTGACAACGCTATGAGCTCAATAAAAGCCATCACTTGCTGTAGCTTATTAGTCATACCAGAGACTGTTCTGTCTGCATCGGCGTGACGTCTCGAATTGTGTCTGCCACTATTGGATGTGTGTGACACTAGATGTGTTACTTTGCCTCCCCAGGCTCAGGGTATAATAATAGTATGTGCCTAATAATTGGGAGGACTATAGGACTTAGACATACAGGGCTTAGCATGATAGAAACATAGTGGATTGGGGTTGACGCTGTGCTGCAACAGGTAAAGTCGCCACCTGCAGTGCCGGCATCCCATATGGGTGCTGATTCGAGTCCTGGCTGCTCTGCTTCCCATCCAGCTCTCTGCTATGGCCTGGGAAAGCAGTAGAAGATGACCCAAGTCGTGACCCAAAAACTTTTAACTTATTTTCACTTAATTTGAAAGAGATAATTTTTCACCTATTGGTTCACTCCCCAAGTGCCTGCACCAACAAGGACAGGGCCAGGCTGAAGCCAGGAGCCAGAAACTCATCATGATCTTCCACATGGGTACCAAGGGCCCAAGGACATCATTCATCACCTCCCACCTCCCACAGTGCATTAGTAGGAAGCTGGATTGGAAGTACAGTAGCCAGGACCAACATATCTGTCCCTTATCCGCCACTTTGTCACCAGTGTCTGGCACATAATATACATTTACAAAATGTAAAAGTCCTTGAAACAGTTCTTGGAGAATTACAAGATAATTAGGGGCCGGCACCGCGGCTCAATAGGCTAATCCTCCACCTGCGGTGCTGGCATCCAGGGATTCTAGTCCTGGTTGGGGCACCAGATTCTGTCCTGGCTGCTCCTCTTCCAGTCCAGCTCTCTGCTGTGGCCCGGGAGTGCAGTGGAGGATGGCCCAAGTGCTTGGGCCCTGCACCTGCAAGGGAGACGAGGAGAAGCACCTAGCTCCTGGCTTCGGATCAGCACAGTGTGCCAGCCGCAGTGGCCATTGTGGGGTGAACCAATGCAAAAAGGAAGACCTTTCTCTCTCTCTCTCTCACTGTCCACTCTGCCTGTCCAAAAAAAAAAAAAAAAAAAAGATAATTTGGCCTAGCCATTAAAGACTTCGATTGGGAGAAGCACATTCCATCTTGGAGTGTCTGGCTTCGGTCCCTGACTCCAGCTTCCAGCCAAGGCAGCCACTGGGAGGTAGAGTTGATGGCTCAAGCAGTCGGGCCCCTGCCACTCACATGGGAGACCTGCATTGAATTCCTAACTCCGCTGGGCCCATCCCGGCCTTTGCAGGCTTCTTGGGAGTAAGACAGCAGGTCGGGGCTCTACCTCTCAGTTTATCTGTGTGTGTTTTTCTCTGTCTCTCTGCATCTCATATAATAAACAAATAAATGATGTCTATTTTGGCACAAAAATATTTCAAATCTTTGCATAAAGAGGTCTTCAAAAAGTTCATGGAAAATATGAATTATGGAAAAACTATGCATAGATTGCAAAATGTTTTGCAACAAAATACACTTCCCTTTTCATTCTGTTTCCACAAAGTTTTCAAAATAACTTGATAACCGTTTAACAAGTTAAATGATGGGAGACTGTGCCTAAGGGGAGGTGGGCTCACTCCTTTTGTGGCTCTAGGAGGGACAACGCTACAGAATGCTGAGCTGGAGGCATTTGTCTAACCTCTGACTTGGTCTGGGTGCACAGGGTAAGGAGGAGGGACAGGCTGCTGAAGAGACTCCCACGGAATCATAGATTGCTACTTCTTTTCCCTTTAAAAGCCCCACCATGAGTGTTACCTTGAATATGGGATCTTGAGTTATTCACAACATGTTTCCTATGTGGAGTGAGAGAACAGTGAAAGATGCAGCCTTAACAATCAGGGCCAGCTACAGAAAGAGCCACTTTGAGTGATGGACGTAGGACCCTGGCAGGTGTAATCAGATTTCCGCTGACAGTCTCAGATAAAAAGGAAGCTTTAAGCAAAGACTGGAAGCAGATATCCATCTATAAAGGTTGCCATTGCGACCATTTGGGAAGTGAACCAGTGGTGGAAGATCTTTCTTTCTGTCTCTCCCTCTCTAGCTGCAACTCTGCCTCTCAAATCTTAAAAAAATAAATAAATAAATAAATAAATAAGAACGCAAACAGAGAGGCAAGAGTTTGACAAGCAGTTAAGATGCTGCTTGGGACACTGGCATCCCATATCAGATTGCCTGGGTTCAAGTCCTGCTCTAATTCCGATTCCAGCTTCCTGCTAATGTGTGCCCTGGGAGGTAGTGGGTGATGACTTCGGTGCTTGCGTCCCTGCCCCCACGTAGGAGACTCGAATTGAGTTCCAGGCTCCTGGCTTTGGCCTGGCCCAGTCCCAGCTGTTGTGGGCATTTGGGGAATGAACCAGCAAAAGGAAGAATTCCGTCTCTATCTCCCTCTTTCTCTGTCTTTCAAAGAAACAAAAATAAATACTTTAAAAAATGTTAAGGACCAGAAACATAAACCAAACACTTGTAAACATGGTTATCTGCAGAGATGGAGGAGTAGAATGGAGGAAAGAGAACCAGAAGTTAGACATGATTCCTCAGAATGGGCCTTATTTTAGAGGTCATGAAATAAAACTTGATAAAACTGCGAGGCCAAAGGAAAATCCTAAAAATTGAAAGCAAATGAGGGGCCAGTGCTGTGGCGCAGTGGGTTAAAGCCCCAGCCTGCGGTGCCGGCATCCCATATGGGTGCTGGTTGGAGTCCCAGCTGCTCTGCTTCCGATCCAGCTCTCTGGTATGGCCTGGGAAAGCAGTAGAAGATGGCCCAAGTCCTTGGGCCCCTGCACCCACGTGGGAGACCTGGAAGAAGCTCCTGGCTCCTGGCTTCAGATCGGCATAGCTTTGGCCATTGCAGCCATTTGGGGAGTGAACCAGCAGATGGAAGACCTCTCTCTCTCTCTCTCTCTCTCTCTCTCCCTCTCTCTGGCTCTACCTCCCTCTGTAACTCTGTCTTTCAAATAAATAAAAAAAAAAATCTTTTTTTAAAAAATAGAAAAAGAAAGCAAATAAATTTAATTGTGTATTGAATTAGTGATTTAATTCCACAGAGAGAGAAATCATCTCAAGTAACACTGAAATACAGCAAACTGACTCCACATGCCTATTGTAATAGATCCTAAGAATGAAAAGGAACCGTGTGTTGGCTTGTTAGGGCTGCTGTGGCAAAGTCTCACAAACCCGATGGCTTAAACAACAGAAATGTATTTCCTCACAGTTCAGGAGGCTGGAAGACCAAGGTCAAGGTGTGGCTGGGGCTGGATTATCCCGAGGCCTCTGTCCTTGGCATGCACACGGTCTCCCTTCTGTCCATTCTCTGTCCTACTCTCCTCTTGTGATAGAAACACCAATCCCATCCGCTTGGAACCCGTCCTCCCAGTGATATAGTTGAACCTCAATGACCTCTATAAAGACAGTCACACTCTCAGGTTCTTCAACACATTAGTTGGAAAGAAGAGGATTGGGGACAAAGTTCTGTTATAAACTATAAAGAAATGGAATGCTGTAGACGGTATTGTATTTGTCAAATTGCTATTGATGTGTATTTAGCTTATATTTTAGCCCCAGTAAAGGTCCCAGACATCTTGGAGCAAACATAAGCCAACTCTGATTCCCTGACCCAGACTCCTGGCCCATGAAATTATGAGAAAAATTTTTAAAAATTGTTTATGCTGCTAGTTTTTTTCTGATTTGGTATATAATAACTGCAACTACACAGGAGCATTTCTGTACCAACTTCCACCCTCCCCCCAAAGAAAAAGGATTTGAATCTTACCAAGCCCCTAGGCATAACTATACCTACCTGTTTGCAGGGCTAGGGAATGTGTTAGAAATACACACTATACCCCAGTAAACTATGTGGGGTGGGGGTGGTAGAATCAGAAAAAATCCAGAATGTTCCCATCTCTGCAGGACAAACGATCTGACTTTTTCAACAACAAAAACCAAAGTCGCAATAAGGAAAACAGAAGAGGCCTTTTTGGTGAAAGGGGTTGGAGAGGGAAGTCGACCGTATACAAATCTGATGCGTGAGCTTTGTCTGGATCCTGATTCAGTCAAGTCCAAACAAAAAATATTGTTTATGATACAATTGGGCAAATTTGGATACTGATTGGACATCTGTTGGTGTTACAATCATGGTTCATCTTTTTAAGGTTGATAATGTCATTGTGGTAATGATGGTTTAAAAATAAGAGTCCTTATCTCAAGGAGATAAGTGCTGAGGGATATGTGTAAGGATGCCATGTATGGGCTTCTTATAAAATGTCAGTAGTGGGCACTTGGCATAGTGGTCAAAACACCCCTTGATGGATGAGCAGCCCATAACAGAGTGCCTGGGTTCAGTCCCAGCTCTAGTCCCAATTCCAGCTTCCTGCTCAAGTGCACCCTGGCAGGCAGCAGACTCAACCACATCAGAATCACCTGCTGTGCCTTTAAAAATATCAGTACCAGAAAATTTGTTCTGGATCCAGTAGGTCTGAGCTGGGCCTTAGCATCTGATTTTTTTTTAAGTTTTATTTATTTGTTTGCTTGCTTATTATTTGAAAAACAGAGAGAAAGAGAGGGAGGGGGAATTTTCCATTCACTTCCATCTGCAAATGCTTTCAACAGCCAGGGCTGGGTCAGGCAGAGGGCAGGAGGCTAGAACTCAACTCAGGTCTCCCACGTGGGTGGCAGGGACCCAAGTACTTGAGCCATCACCTGCAACCTTCCAGGGTGCACATTAGCAGGAAGCTGGGATCAGAACCAGAGCCAGGACTCAAAGCCAGGCACTCCCAAAGGATGTGGGCATCCCAAGTGGTATCTTCACTGCTGCACCAATCACCCATATGCTGGTATCTAACTTTTTTAATCGTTGCCTGATCATTGTCTTGAGCATCCTAAGATGAGAACTGTTAACTGAGAACAGTCATTATATTGGGACCTCAGAGGGCAACTTCAGTATTGAGGCATTTCATAAGATACCCCAGTTTCTCCCCTCTTTTTTTTTTTAAACAAGCAGAGTTAGAAAAAGAGACAGAGAGAAAGGTCTTCCTTTTCCATTGGTTCACCCCCACAAATGGCCACTACGGCCGGCACACTGCGCCAATCCGAAGCCAGGAGCCAGGTGCTTCCTCCTAGTCTCCCATGTGGGTGCAGGGCCCAAGCACTTGGGCCATCCTCCACTACCTTCCCAGGCCACAGCACAGAGCTGGACTGGAAGAGGAGCAACCAGGACATGATCCGGCGCCCCAACCCGGACTAGAACCCCGGGGTGCCGGCACCGCAGGTGGAAGATTAGCCAAGCGAGCCACGGTGCTGGTCCCAATTTTCACTTTCAAATACTGATTTTTTTGTTGTTGTTGTTCAATTTGCTCTTCTTTTTCTCTTGTAGTTCAAGACTTTCTCACTTTGGGTCCCAACATGCAACCTTCTCCCTCAACTTATTGTAATATCCCATATCTGAATGTGTTCACTATTTTGCTGTTTTTGTGTAATTTTTTGAAAGGCAGACAGACAGAGAACTCCCGCTTCCCATTGACTGATTCATTCTGCAAATGCCTGCAACAGCCAGGGTGGGCCAAGCCAAAGCCAGGAGCCCAAGCCAGGAACTCAATCCAGGTCTCCCACATGGGTGGCAGGGACCCAGGTATCTGAACCATCACATGCTTCCTCCCAGAGTGTGCATTAGCAGTAAGCTGGAATTAGAAGCTGAGCTAGGATTTAACCCCAGGTATCCCTATGTAGGTTGCTGCTGTCCCAAGCTCCATTTTAACTGCTGCACCAAATGCCTACCCAAGCTTTTTGAAGTTTTGGGGGTTTTCTCTTGCAACGATAGGAAAATCTTCTACAACATAGGACACCAGTATTTTTCTTTCTTGGTCGATAACTTCCACCTCATTTAACACTCTTGCACACACTCAAGAAACAGAAAATTTTCTAGACTGTCTCAAGGAACTACACAGATGGTTTATTTGAATATCTAAATTTGCTTCTGAAATCAAGACTTTGCTTTAGTTTGGCAAAATGTGCAACATGCATCACTGGGCTTCATTTCGAAAACACTTTTGGGATACTAGGTTTCACGATGCTACTGCAGATAAAACACAAACTGGTTTTGAAATGTGTTGAACATGGGACCAGCACTGTGGCACAACGAGTTAAAGCCCCAGCCTGCAGTTCTGGCATCCCATATGGTACTGGTTTGAATCCTGGCTGCTCCACTTCCAATCCAGCTCCCTTCTAGTGCACCTGGGAAAGCAGTGGAAGATGACCCACGTGGGAGACCCAGAAGAAGCTCCTGTCTCCTGACTTCAGATTGGCTCAGCTCCAGCTGTTATGGCCACTCTCCCCTGTTTGTTCTTTGTCTCTGTGTGTGGCTCTCCAGCTTCAACTCAGCCAGTAGCAACCAGGTGTCCTCTGTCTGCTGTGTGACAGGTGTGATGGAGGACAGCAAGGAAAGGAGAACACGTATTCCTGCCTCCCTAGGCTGAAATGCAGGCAGGAAGACGGCGTTAGAACAAGAAAGAGGTGACACTGGAAAGCCATGTGTAGAGTAATCAGCATTTATTGCAATCTGTATTCACTGTTCACTACACTGAGGAGAGTCACTGAGTAATGTGTTTTCTCTGTTCCTCTTTGGCCAGGTTTGGGCTTCTAAGAAGGCAAAATAGCATTTGCTCAAGAGCCCGTGGAGTAACCTGAGCTTTGTAAGCATTTCTAGAAAAGAGAGGGGAGCATCACTGTCTGCTATCACTGACACTCCTGCACCCTGGAGTGCTTCACAGAGAGCTTTGTGTCCAAGTAGCTAGTGGAGCGAGCCAGGATCAGGGGCGCTCCCCACCCTCTGTCTTCGCTCTTCCACTTTAGTCATTGCTGTTATATAAGCTCTGCCGCTCTTTCCCTGCCAGCCCAAGTCTGCTGATCTGGGCAGCACCTTTGGCAGAGGAGCCAGCCTTCCGTACGCTGCACGCTGTAGACTCCACAGTGACCTTTGTTACGAATGCAGGTCCTTGACTGACCTCCTGTACTTGCCAAAGGATTCTTAAGCTCTTGTGCTACATTTCTTTTTGAGCAACATTTTATCATTTTCTAACTCTGAGAAAACAAAACCATACCTACCCCAGGGTCCAGAGAGAGGAAATGTCAAAGCTGGCTAATTTTTTTTTTCTTTTTAAAAAGATTTATTTATTTATTTACTTGAAAGGCAGAGCAATGAGGGGAGGGGGGAGAGAGAGAGAGAGAGAGAGAGAGAGAGAGAAAGAAAGAAATCTCCCATCTACTGGCTTACTCCCCAAATGGTCACAATGGCTGGGGCTGGGGCCAGGCTGAAATCAGAAGCCAGGAACACTCCATCTGGGTCTCCTACATGTGTGGCAGGGGCCCAAGCACTTGAGCCATTGCCTTCCTAGGCGTAAGTGCAGGGAGCTGGATCGGAAGCAGAGCAGCTGGGACTTGAATACAGAACTCTGATATGGGATGCCATCACGGCCCGTGGCAGCTTAGCCTGCTGTGCCACAATGCCAGCCCTTTCCTCTGTTTTAAAATAGCTAGTTTGTCTCAACATTTCAAAGCTGCTTTATTTGCTTTTTATTTTTTACTTTATTTTTTATTTAATTTATAAGGTATAGAGTGATAAATCAACACATATATTCATTGAGTGATGATCAGATCAGGTTGGTTAGCATTTCTATCTCCTTAAACATTAAAAAAAAGTTTAATTGACACTTAAAAATTGTGCAGTGTGATACTGCAATATATTCACTGTGTACTGCTCAAATCAGGTTAATTAACATTTTCCTCTCCTCTTCGTTACTTTGTTTTGGGAGCTTTTGAGTTCTCCTATTTATTCATAAAATAGACAAGCAGGAGAAACTTATCTGTACTTAATTGTAGCACAATGAAACCCACTATCCCAAGACCCAAAAGTGTTTTAGAAATGAATCCCAGGATGTGTGTTGCATGTTTTAGTGAACTAAAGCAAAGGCATGGTTGTATAAGGAAATTATATTCTAATAAACCTTCTTTATAATTCCTTGAAACAGCCTAAAAAGTTTTTTTGCTTGGGAGAGTGCAAAGGTGTTAAATGAGGGAGAATACATTGACTAGAAAAAGAAATACTGAAGTCCTTTGTTGCAGAAGGGTTTTCTCACACTGGGGTTGAGGAACTGAAAACTTGAAAAACTTCATACCCAGGGAGGGTGTTTGATACAGAAGTTAAGATGTGGTTTGGGATACCCATATCCCATGTGGGAGTACCTGGGTGCAAGCTCCAGTTCCACTCTAGTCCCAGCTTCCTGCCAATGAGCACCTTGAGAGGAAGCAAGTAATTATGTGAGTGGTGGGGGCCCTGCTACCCGTGTAGGAGACCCAGACTGAGTTTCTAGCTCCTAGCTTCAAACTGGCCCAGCCCAACTGTGGTGGGCACTTGGGGAGTGATCTAGGAGATGATGGGTTTTATCTCTGTCTCTCTGTTTCTCTGCCTTTTAAATAAACAAAAGGAAAAATTTTAAAATATTTTCAAAAATTTACTTGAAAGGCAGAGTTATGAAGAGGCAAGGAGAAACAGAGAGAAAGAGAGAGAGAGAGAGAGAAAGAGATCCTCCATCCACTGGTTCACTCTCCAAATGGCCTCAATGGCTAAGGCTGGGCCTGATCAAAGCCAGGAGCCAGAAGCTTCCTCTGAGTCTCCCACGTGGGTACAGGGATCCAAGGATTTGGGCCATCTTCTACTGCTTTCCCAGGACCATTAGCAAGGAGCTGGATGGGAAGTGGAGCAGCCAGGACTCGAACTGGTGCCTGTATAGGATGCTGGTGTAGCAAATGGTGGCTTAACTCACTATGCCACAGCACCAGCCCCACAAATTGTTTTGTTTGCTTTTAAGATTTATTTATTTATTTGAAATGCAGAGTTAGAGAGAGAGAAAAATCTTCTATCCTTTGGTTTACTCCCCAAATGGCCACAACAGATGGAGCTGGACTGATTCAAAGCCAGGGTCCAGGAGCCTCCTCCAAATCTCCCACACGAGTACAGGGACCCAAGCACTTGGGCCATCTTCTGCTGCTTTCCTAGGTGCATTTGCAGGGAGCTGGATTGTAAGTAGAACACAGGACTAGAACCAGCACCCAAATGGGATTAACAGGTTAAAGCCCGGAGCTAGGAATTCCATCTGGGTCTCCCATGTGGGCAGCAGGTGCCCAAGTACTTAGGCCATCTTCCACTGACTTTCTAGGTACATTAGCAGGGAGCTGGATAGAAAACAGGGAACCAGCACTACAATATGGGATGCCAGTGTCATAAGCCACAGTTTAACCAGTGGTAACACAATACTGGCTCCCTTAAGCACTTTTGTTTTCTTATCATCCAAAGACACAGCATTACAGGATAGCAAAATTTGGATTCTTGGTCTTGGGGCTAGGTTCTGATGTGATTTTAGTAAAATGCAAATTTGATTTTACATCCTCTACACTCCTCTCTTCTTCTTCTTCTTTTTTTTTTTTTTTCAGAGTGGACAGTGAGAGAGAGAGAGACAGAGACAGAGAGAAAGGTCCTTTGCCGTTGGTTCACCCTCCAATGGCTGCCGCGGCCGGCGTGCTGCAGCCAGCGCACCACGCTGATCCGAAAGCAGGAGCCAGGTGCTTATCCTGATCTCCCATGCGGGTGCAGGGCCCAAGCACTTGGGCCATCCTCCACTGCACTCCCTGGCCACAGCAGAGAGCTGGCCTGGAAGAGGGGCAACCGGGACAGAATCCGGCGCCCCAACTGGGACTAGAACCTGGTGTGCCAGCGCTGCAAGGCGGAGGATTAGCCTAGTGAGCTGGGGCGCGGGCCTACACTCCTCTCTTAATCAAAACATGACAACAAAAGAAAATGTCTCTTCCATACTGACAAAATCCCCCTAGCAAAGAAAATTACAAGTGGTAGGGGAACACATTCCCCAAGAAGCACACTTTAAAGGACACGATTGGACTGCAGGAATTTGCCACCCGGCTGCCAGGTCGAGCAACAGACGGACTCTGGATGTCATTGTAAATGCCTTGGCCACTAATTGTGTCCTAGAACCTCCTTTGATGGTAAGTTGAATTTTTATAGCTTCTAGGATTTCTTTCTGCTCAGTGCCGCTGGAACTCTCCCTGAATTCTTTCCAGCCTTTTGCATGACGATGAGCGATGGTCAGTGATCCCTGGGAAGTGAGCATGTGGTGTGGCTATCTTGCTGTCACGGCAAGCTCTACATTCATTTTACCTCTTTAGAAATTAGTCAGAACCCCTTTTTGGGTGCTTCCATGCATATGAAATGTGTAGAATAGGTCAATCCATGGAGACAGAAAGTAGATGAGTGGTTGCCAGGGGCTGAGGAGTGCAGAGGAAAATGAGTGATGGCTTCAGGATATAGGGTTTCTCTGGGGAACGCCGAAAATGTCCTGACATTGTTTAGTCATGATGGTTGCACAACGCTGCGGATACCCTGAAGCCACGGAAATGTAAATTTCATGTGGGTGAATTGTATGGAATGTGAACATTTCAATACAGCTGTTATTAAAAAAAAACAACCAACCAGCCAACCAGGCAATGCTCAGGTGACAGTGAAGGGGACGTGTACAGGGCTTTGTTCCAGGGATGGAGACGAGCTCCCTTGTCTTCCTGCAGGGGGGGCGTCTGGCCTCCAGTCCTGTCTGCTCTTGCTGCACACACCATTTCTATTTGGGTCCTTTTTACAGTCTTGTTATAGTTAGTGAGCAACTCTGAAGTCAGAAACCACGGCGAGGCCTTGGTTACAGCTTACCCTTGTTTTGGATCAACAATAAACATGACTAATGTCACCATGGCTGGGCTCAGCCACATACGTGGATCCAGGAAGTCTGGGGTGTGTGCTAGAGGCCGGGGTACTGGGTAGCCGGAAGGACAGCGGTTGGCCAAACTTGTCCTCCAGGACTAGGATGTCGGTGAAGCCTGGCGTGGAAAGTTGATGTCAAAATAACCCTGAGGGGAAAGAGTGTTGGCTGGCTTGGCCTGGAGGTACCCACTGGGCATCCGTGAGAAAAGCACATTTTGAGCCCTATATTCTACTGATTAACTTTGAACCCAGCACCCCTCTTCCATCCTATCCCATATCCATGACCCCCAGGTCCCTGGAGTCAGGGCACGGGAGACGGGAGGGGTACAATGAAGGAACTGCACCCGAGACAGGGCAGGGCGACTTAGCGACTGTCACTTAGGAACAAAGGCCCTGGGGTGGTGAGCTCTGTGTCCGCTTGGCTGGGCCACAATACCCAGGTATGCTCAAACATTATTTTGGCCCCATCCAATTAGTTGAAGTCCTGTATAGTCTAAGAGGTTGATCTACTTCCTCCAGCACCTCAGGCCACCCTTATGGGGGACCTGAAAGGAGTTCCTGGTTCCTTACTTTGGCCTGGCCCAGTCCTAGCTATTGTGGCCATTTGGAGACTAAACCAGTGGATGGAAGATCAATCTCTCTCTCTTTCTCTCTCTCTCAGTTGCTCTCCCTTTCAAATAAATAAATAAATATTTAATAATATTTTAAAAGTCTCTTTTTATATATACAAGGGAGCTTCAAAGAGTTTATGGGGAATGTGTATTATGAAAAAAACTGCACATAGTTTTCAAATTTTTCGCACCAAAATAAACTTAGATTAAAAAAAAAGATTTATTTTTTGATTTGAAAGGCAGAGTTACAGAGAGAGAAGAAGAGGCAGAGAAAGAGAAAGGTCTTCCATCCGCTGATTCACTCCCCAATTGGCTGCCGGAGCTGCGCTGATCTGAAGCCAGGAACCAGGAGCTTCTTCCAGGTCTCCCACATGGGTGTAGGGGCCCAAGGACTTGGGCCATCTTCTACTGCTTTCCCAGGCCATAGCAGAGAGTTGGATTGGAAGTGGAGCAGCCAGGACTCGAACCAGTGCCCATATGATGCTGGCACTATAGGCAGCAACTTTACCTGCTATGCCACAGCCCTGGCCCCTACACTTACCTTTAACTTCCACTTTGACAAACTTTTTGAAGTGCTGTCATACATACATCTTGCTGGTTTTGTTTCTCTGAGAGAGAGCGAGAGGGAGAGAGGGAGAGAGGGAGAGGGAGAGAGGGAGAGAGAGTGTGATCCTTCAAATGCCCACAACTGTAGGATTGGGTCAAGGCCAAAACCAGGAGCTGGCAACTCACTCTAGGTCTCTCATGTAGATGGCAGTGCTGCAATTACTTGAGTCATCCTCATTGTCAGCATGATCCGCATTAGCAGGAAGCTGGACACAGGAGGTGAGGGCAGGTATCCAGCCCCGGCACTCTGATGTGGGACAAAGGAGTTAACCACTAGGCCAAATGCCCACCCCAACAGGTAATATTTCTTCCTCTTCATGAACGACTCTTAGAGCAGAACTGAGTGCAGCTTTGACCTCAGCAAAAGGAAACGAGAAGTCAGCATCAGTCCAGGAACAAAGCTTCCTGGGCTGGAGCTGAGGCCTTCGTGTGGTTACCTGGTATGCACAGCTGATGGCCGAGCTGTGGGGTAGATTCCACCATTCCTCCAACTACAAGAGAGTGGTTGGGAGACCGCACTTCTAGATTACGCCTATGGCAGGGGTGGCGTAAAGAAATAGAGTTGCTAACATGTGAGAGCAAGTCCTGCCTGCCCCACCTGAGGGTTGAAGTAGGAAATGCTTGGCTCTTGAGGCTTGCAAGGACCCATTTTCAATGTCTCCTCTTTGTGGACAAAGCTAATCCAGTACTGTTTGGACAGGGGTAGAAGCAGTCACCTTCATATTTAGCTTCTCAAACCTCCTCCAGACAGTGGGAGCCGGTCCTTGAAGCTTCCCTAACAACATAACAACTCTTGGCGGTCAACACGGCTCCTATTCTGAAAGAAACAGACAGCACATACAGTCATGCTTAGCACCAGCTATCTTTGAAACACACAGAGACACGCATATTCTGAAACAAGAATCAGGCAGGTGACAGGGGAAAAGACAAAGGGGCTTGCTCAGTTTTAGGAGAAAGGAATGGGAGCTCCCAGGGAGCAGAGTTGCACAACACATGGTCTAGAGGCATAAACAAGGAAGCAAGAGGCAAGGCGAAAGCCAAGGTCAACAGAACAGGAAGAGCCAGAAAGTCCCCGTCCATTGCTTCATCTTAGAAGATGATTCCTTCAACTTCCACGTCTCCCCACAGCCTAACCAAAGCTGGGGTGATAAGGACTTTTGTCTCTGAGCCCTGTGCTGCCCTATTGCTCCATTGGCACAGGGCTTGATTTTTCTGGACTTAGAAGCATTTCTGAGCAATCATCCTGACAATTTACAGGCAGACTTATTTATTTGTTTTGCCTTTTTTTTTTTTTGAATACTATATGCTTAGTGTAACAAACGAGAACCAGACTAGGTTTTTTAAGTATAAAAGGAGTTAATACAGGGAAACCATGCTGAGGAAACAGTTGGAGGTGCTGAAGGAACAGGGCTGTAGCCTGGATCTGACTACCTGAACAGGTGGAATTGACCTCTCTCCCTCCTAAGAGCTATGATCTCTGCCCGCATCAGCAGGGAGGGGATCAGGAGGCCATCACTGGAACAGTAGAACGCATAAATACACGGAAGTAGTGGCACCCCAGAAATGTAGAAGTTGGGGCTAGGAACCACCACCTGCTGCCACCAACATAAAGCTTGAACAAGCAAGTCAGAGAACTCTGGCGGCCTCTGCCTTACCTCCACCTTCTGAAACTCACACAGTGGATGAGGTATGGTCCACAGTCACAAAGGGGTCTGGGAAATGTAGTGCCAGCCTCTGCAACACAGGAAGGTGCCCCAGGAGGAGGCAGGAATGGATGTTCAGTGCCAATCAATTTCCAACACAAGTAGCAATTATAATTGAGGTGGCCTCCCTGCTGTGGCTCAGGGCTAATCTTATTCTGGGTCTGTTCAGGCCCATTCAAGATCAAGTGCAAGGCTTACTCTCTGTCCCCTATCTCTCACACTCCTCACCTTCCTTCTCAAGGGCTAAGGAGCATTCCACGATGGTGCAAGGATGAGCTTTGCCTCATACAATAGGGAGGATGGAGACCCAACATATTCTTCTGCTTGTTACATGAGAGAAATTCCTCATTGATGTCCAGTGTAAGTCCTCATCAGACACCTGTCAGGGAGCAAGTGACATAACCCGTTGGCACAGGCAAAGAGTAGGGCTTACTCAGATGTTGGCTAGCGCTCAGATCTAGCCCTCTCCTCCTGTTCCCACCGCCACTCCGTCTTCGTTACTTCCCTCTGTCTTTCCTCACCCCTCAGCATGGAGAATATTTTTCTACACTGGGTAAGGGGCTTTGCTTTTATGCCTGATGTCTTCTCTTTAATCTTTTGCCTCACAGTCCTCTCCAGGCCACTAAGGACCTAGACCAGTTGCTTTTGAACTTCAGCCAGCTCCCGATTCGCCTGTTAAAACACAGACTGCCTGCTCCCACTGCCAGAGTTGCTGATTCAGCAGGACTTTGCTTTTCTAATAAGGACCCTGGTGATGCTGATGCTGCTGTCAGGGGACCAAGCTTTGAGAACCAGTGGTCAAAGGCTTTTGAAGCTACAAAACTATACTTTTTGCTCTTAAATCCCATCCCTTGAGTATGAACAAAGAATGGCTTATCTGTTCAAATGGGAAAATGAGTTCAGGGAATAAAGAAATCTAGAAAAAAGAGAGGAAACTTTAAAAAGCATTACCCTACCACTCAATAATAATAATGTAACACCTTTGCTCTTGATGTTTGGCAAAGCAAAGGTTAAGCATTTGAAGAATCTTGTTACTGGATGATTCTCATAATTTCTCTTTTTCCCCTTGAGTCTTCTGTCTTCACCAACCCCCAGCCTAGCTTGCTCTCTCTCTTGCTGGCTGTTAGTTATTTGGGTGTATCTGGTCTCCCGCGTGAAAGGGCTTCAGCGCCTGTGCTGAGCCATGTACTTAAAATACCTGGTTGAATCCTCCCGACAGTCCCGCAGGATGATACTTCTGAGGTCGTTCCACAGGTGAGGCTCAGAGAGGTCGCCGTGCCAGGAGCCGGCTGATCCGGGAGTTGAGCTCACCTGCCCGCCCCCACCCACTCACCTACCTGTTGTAACTTGTAGTCCGCACTACTGCTAAACCTGAGGTCAGCTGGTCTCGGCTGTGGGTATCATGATGTAACTCCCAGTTCCATGCTCTTCCCACACCGTCATGACCTTCTGTCATTCTGCATCCAGGCCATGGGGCAGAGACCTTACAACAGAGACCATCAATAACCAGGGCTATACTAAAGCGACTCCTGCTGTCAGGTGACAGTCTCCAAAGCTTCCCAGGTCACAGCGCCCCCAGGAGGGAACTGCAGGGTTTTTTGTTCCCCTTGGAAGATGCTTTCCTGTGTGTGTGTGTGTGTGTGTGTGTGTGTGTGTTCATGCCTTGGATACACTTTTTGAACATGAACTTCCTGGGAACTTATGGTTTCACAAAAAATCCTGCTAAATTCCCAGTAAACCTCAAATTGTGTAGGGTGTGGGGTGTAGGGAAGATGCGTGTTATTCTTGGCAGAAATCGTTCTAGTTTGGCAGTAAATGTCTGAAAGCATAATAATAAAAGTACTTTTTCACATCCTGTTTTTTTCTCTCCTTTTGTTGATTTTCGAGCATTTCTTCCCAAGCAAGGAGTTATGCAATGAGATTTGAAAATTACCAAACTTAACCTTGTTGTTAGTTTTATTTGGTTCCCGTTCTATGTTTCCACACACTTTATCTGCTCTAAATATTAAGAATTGATCCTAGAGTGGCCCGGGAACCACATAAGGCTGGATAGCAATTTCCTACAGCAAGGTGACAGGCTCTGAAAAACTCACTGCAGGCCATAAAATCTCCTCTCAGTGGCTTTGAACCTAGGACCGTCTGAGCCTGTGGTGACTGGTTCTTCTGGACAGAAGGTTTCAGAAGCCTGTGTCTTTCTGAGCATCTTCAAAAACTTTCATTCCCCATGAAAACCAATCTGCAGCAGGAGTCCAGGGTGATAGGTCCCAGAAACAACTTCAGTCAGGCACTGGTTCTGCCTCTTCCTATCTGCATTACCTAGGGCAAATTAACCTCTCTAGGGCTCAGTTTCCTTATCTGTAAAATGGGAATGGTAAAGCACCCACTACCTAGAGCTGTTGTGTGGCTCAAACTATACCTAATATACCTATACCTAGCACACAGAGTGCTGACCTGGAGCAGTCTCTGGCATTGCAGTAAATCGCTGGTTGGAGTGGCTATTCTTGGGGCAGATGTTTGGCCCAGAGGTTAAGTCATCATGTAAGACGTCTGCATCCCATACCAGAGTCCGTGAGCTCGAGTCCTGGCTCTGTTTCTGATCCAGTGTACTGCTAATGTGATGGCTCAAGTACTTGGGTCCCTGACACCTACCTGGGAGACTAGGATTGAGTTTCAGGCTCCTGGCTTTGGCCTGGCCCAGCCCTGGCTGTTGTGAGTATTTAGGGAGTTGAACCAGCAGATGTGAGACCTGTCTCTGCCTTTCAAGTGAGTAAAATAAAAATTATATGAACTTAAGTACATCATCATCAACTACCACTTAAAGACAGTGCCTAAGACAGACAGACCTCTTAATTACCATTAATTATTGTCATCATCATCAACATTGCAGCAGCACCTGCTGAGGGAAGGGGGAGGATCTGGGATCTGCTGAGTGGATCAGAGCAAGGGGAGCCTACGCTGGTGGCCAGACTGGCTCTGAGAAAGGTAACCAGGTGGGCTAAGGAGACAGCAAGCTAGGATCTGATTCTGGCCACGTTATCAGCGTTGTCAGGGAGCAAGGTAGGCAGTAGGAGGGACAGCAGGAAGGTCTAGGCGTAGATGGCTCACTAAAGTCTCCAAGAGACCATGGCTCTTGAGCAACTGACATATTCCCAGCACGGCCCCAGCTGCTGTAGGCTGTGGAAACGAGGACAGGAAGGCAAATCACTGGCAAAGAGTAAGATAGGACAACCGAACCCCAGCCGGAGGTCAAGGCCCCAGTCCTACAGAGGGAAACTGAGGCAGTCTAGTGAGCCAGGTCTCTGCAGGGTGGAATGTCAAACAGAGAAAGGAAGGGGAGGAAAAGCCATGATGAGGAAGACCTGGAAGGTTCTCAGAGCTCTGCCGGGACCCACAGCTCTGCCTGATGGGGTGGAGCCTCCGGAAATCCTTGCCAGCACAGTCATGGCCACCAGTGACTGCTGCACACAGGATACAAGGGGTCCTGTGCCAGAGCACAGCAGCTACCAACACGATCATCTGGCGTCCAAGGAGGCGAGAGCGGTCACGACTCAGCCACCTGGGCCGACAGCAGGATACCGAACGTTCCGCAAGTCAACAGAGCCTGCGCTTGGAAGAAAAAGACTTCTCTTATCTGCCTAGGGTACACTGTAGTTAGTTCTTGGAAAAGAGAGCGCCGGTGTTTACCCCAGCTGTCTCCTCCGTTTTTATAACAACGGCTGTAGCAAGAAAGAGATGGAAAGGTTGGAGGCGAAGAGCAAATAAAATTACTTGGCCAGCAGATTTGGTGGAAATTCCCCAAACAGTTGACCAACTATGAAATGCTTTTGAGCTCCAGTTTGGATTTTTCTTGTTGTTGCTTCTTTTAATTTAGAAGCAACTCTGAATATTTGAACCCTGGAATAAATTGTGTTACCAGAAGTCTGGAAGTTTGTGTTTGAAATTTCCTGGCAATTTCTGGGAGACATGGCAGTTTTTCCAAATTTCACAGACTTTTTTTTTTTTAATTTGCTTGTAGGATTTTGATTTACTTTAACATTTCGGTTGGTTATAGTTCAAAGTGTCTATTGCTGTCCTGTAAATTGCTACATGATTTTGGCCTCGGCTTTGTTTAATCTTGTGGAACTTTTATGTTTGTTGCCTGGGAGCCAAGTTTCTATACAAGGCCCGCCCAGCTTCAATTGTTTGCCCTAAGATTTCATCTGCACTCCGACTTTGAAACGAGTTTCCTGAAAGAATGAGCTCTTGCTCCTTGATACTGAAATGACCACCAGCAGCAGTGTTGATTTCTTTTTATTTTTCTGACAGGATATGCTAAAAGTGGGGGACACCAGCTTAGAACTTCATAGCTTGAAATCCAGTGCACATTAGAGACTAGTGTGTTTTTAAATGTAAATGTTTATTTTTTTAATTTTCATCTACTTAAAAGGCAGAGAGAGTGAGGGAGATTGTCTTTTTTCTTTAGTTTTATTTATTTATTTGAAAGGCAGAGTTGAAGAGAGGGAGATAGAGAAAGAGAAATAGAGGGAGAACCTTCCATCCGCTGGTTCACTCTCCCAAATGACTGCAATGGTCCAGACTGGACCAGGCCGAAGTCTGGAACCAAGAGCTTCATCCGAGTCTCCCACATGGATGGCAGGGGCTCAAGCACTTCGGGCCATCTTCTGCTGCTTTCCCAGGCACATTAGCAGGGAGCTGGATTGGAAGTGGAACACCTGGGACTCAAACCAGCACTCAAATGAGATGCTGGCATCGCAAGCAGCAGCTTAACCCACTAAGCCACAAGAATGCCAGCCCCAAGGAAGAGATTTTCTATCCACTGATTTACTCCCCAAATGCCCACAGCTGCCAGGGTTGAACTAGGCTCTAGGAATTCATCTTGGTTTCCCACATGGGTGGCAGGGGCCTAAGCTCTTGTGTCATCTCCTGCTGGAAGTTGGAGGGGAAACAGATGCTGGGACTTGAACCAGGCACTCTGATATGGAATACGGTTGTCCCAAACTGTGGCTTAACCCACAATCATTATATAATAATTTCAAAATAGCTTAATAATTATCTTTTTCTTTTAAAAAACTTATGCATTTTCATTATTTATTTGAAAAGCAAAGAGAGAAACAGAGACAGAGATCTTCTATCTACTGGTTTGCTCCCCAAATGCCTGCAACAGCCAGAGCCGAACCAGGCAAAAGCCAGGGACCTGGAGCTCAATCCTAGGAACCCAACTACTTGACCCATTACCACTGCCTTTCGGGACACACGTTAATAGTGAGCTGGATGAGAAGTGGAGGAGTCAGAACTTGAGCCTGGCACTCTGATATGGGATGACATCTCAAGTGGTATCTTAACTGCTGAACTAGATGCCTGCCCCGATTCGTTATACTTCCTGTAGCGTAACTATATCTGAATTATCTTCCAACTCCCTCCTGGCACAAAAATTTCAACTCAGGGACAAGATTTCCGAAGATAGTTTAGCAACAAATGGATAAAGATTATTCCTCTGTGGACTTCATCAAAGCCTGTTTTTAAAACATTGTGCTATTAAGCTGTTAATTTTGGAGGGGTGATCACTATGTAGGCCTAAAGTTTTATATAAGCAAGTAGTATTTATATTTTCATTAATAAGTACATAGATTTAATTTCATTGCCTGTTAGTGAAATACGGAATGGACTTGGTAGTTATTTTGGCTTCAGGTTGGCTTCCTGTCTTCCTTTATTAGATTTAGCTGGCCTTGAACAAGCTCGAAAAGAGTCCATGATAGTTCCAATTTATTGGTTTCACATTCTCTGACTCAGAAGCTTTTACAAGGTCTATTCTATAGGCAAATAATGTCCATAAAAATATAACTACTTAAAGCCTGGTTAAACCTTTGGTCTCAACATTTTTCTTGGTGCTGCATTTAAGCTTGTTCATTATAAAGAGATTCCCTCTTAGCTCTATTAGAACTTATTTTAGTTACGAAGAAAATATTGGGCGACTTACTCTTAGTCACTGAGTTCTACTGAGGATCATTAAAAAGTTAATGAAGGGGTGGTTGTTTAGTCAAGCAGTTGAGACTCTGGTTAATGTGACCTTGTCCATATCAGACTGTGCTTGGGTTCAACACTTGGCTCTGGCTCCTGACTCCAACTTCTTGCTAATGCAGACCTTGGGAGGCAGCAGTGATGGCTCAGGTAATTGGGTACCTGACACCCACATAGAGGACCTGGATTGTGTTCCCCATTGTGGCATTTGGAGAGTGAACCAGAAAACGACAGCACTCTCTAATTAAAAAAAAAAAAAGTGAATGAGAGATATGTTTTTAAAAATTGAAGAGTCAATGTAGATTGCTTGCCTTGAGTCATCATAAAAA